AAAAAAAAAAAAAACAAAGAAAAAAACAGCTTTGAAGCTTTATTGTATCATAGAGCATTATTGAGCTTCAGTTGTTGTTACATTAAAGCTGTTTATTATAGGAGGGCTTAGCATATGTTTACATGCACAAAAATCAAATTTTTTTCTCTATTTTTTTTCCTATTGTTTTCAATTTTATTCTGTTACTGTTTTTTTTCCTCCCTTTGAAGTGTTTTGATGCACCACAAAGGTAGCTCAGCTGAATGATTTTGTTGCATGCAAAATATCCAATTTCTCTATGGCCAACTATCGCTTCTGTAAAACAACTGTTTTCTTTGTGATGTCCAGGAGAGTATTTTTTTTTTTTTTTTTGAAGCTGCTGCTGCTACTGCTGCTGCTGTTGCTGCCGCTGCTGTTGTATTGACGATCAAAAAAACGGTATGATCAAAAAGATTTTGTGGTTACTGAATCATGTCGGCAGACAGTATTATATAATTTTACCAAGCTGGCGAAAGCGCACATCAATGATTCATTAGTGACTGAGTGTGACTGACCAAAAGAGGGGTCATTGATGGCAAAGAGCCTGTCGGTTATGGCAAAACAAAAGAAAGAACAAAGAGTAGACGACGTTTGAGCAACCAAATAACAGTGAAGCACTAAAACGGAATATTCTAAGAGTCGACTGGCAACGTATCAGCAACGGCAACAGCTGTATCAATGCTTCAGAGGTAAAGGAATGTTGATTATTAATACGGTCACACCTGCATCACAGATTTGATGCATAAGGCATATGTAATCTGCGTTTCTGTATTTCTGTATGTGTTTCTGTGTTCGTATGGCGGTGTTCACTGTTCACACTTTTTTAACAACAACTTATTGTTTTTCGCTTAGTACGTATTTTTTTTTGCAGGTTCTTAAACCATCGTTATCAACAAAATTCTTACTGTCACAGTACAGTATGAAATTAGAAATGTGCACATATAAACATACAAAAAAAAAGAAGTATTAAGTTTTAATTCTCAATCAAATAAAAGTCTGTTTATTGCATATTGTCACTTTTTATAAAGAAGACAGTTTTTTTTGTATTGGATACTATATGAACAAAAAAAAAAACTTATTATTAATTTAGCAGAGTTTTTTTGTGTGAATATTTCTATTGCTAATGACGATATTTATAGAAACAGAATAAAATTGAGAAAAAAATGTTGGCAGGAAAATAAACTTATCTCTGGTAATCACTATTTGTTTTTTGTTTGGTTGCCAGTGAATCTGATACGCTCATCTGGTTTACCATTGGTAACCAATTATTTGAGGCTGTCCAACAGTTGTATTATTATTATTATCGTGCAAAACTATGCCTGTATTGATATTTATATGTACATATGTAGATGTAATTTTTTTTTTTTTCTTGACAAGAAGGTGTGAATTAAAGTGTTACATTAATCCGCTTATATCAGATATTTTTATAACAGCAAAAAAAGAGAGAGAGAAAAAAGAAATAGCGAAAAGGAAATGTTGCAGATAAAAGAGAAAATTTTTGAACAATAAAAGTTGCTTCAAAGTTCACCGGTTCACTTGTTAAAATTTTCTGTTTCGGTTACAGTTCCTCGCCTCTCTTCCTCTTTTTTTTCTTTCGTTTTTCAGCTTTAATAAAATATAACAACTGGTCTAAAAAAAAAAAAAAGAAAAAAAAAATTCGGCAAATATTATGCAGAGCAAAAAGATTAGGAAAAAAAAAATTGAACCAAATTGCTGCTGATCTTGCTGCTCCGGCTGCTGGTGTTCCTGTCATTACTGCTGTTGCTGTTGCTGTTGCTACTGCTGGTGCTGGTGATGGTGATAGTGGTGCTGGTACTGCAGCCGTTGTTGTTGTTGTTGTTGTTGTTGTTGTTGTTGTTG